TATCAGTTCTTTCTCTAGAGGCAGATAGAATGTTTCATCACAAGTCCTTTGTCTTGGGTCACTGTATTGCTGAGAAGAGCTAAATCATTCACAGTTGCTCATCTCACAATATTGCTGTTACTGCACACAACGTTCTCCTGGTTCTGCTCACTTCACTATGCATCAGTTCATGTGAGTCTTTCCAGGTTTTCCTTTAATCATTCTACTCGTCATTTCTTATAGCACAATATTAGTCTGTTACAATCCTATACCACAGCTTGTTTAGCCGTTCCACAACTGAAGCATCTCTGTATGTTTCTTCTCTTGACTTTTGAATAAACATCTGGGTGCTTGCCCTTTGGTTTCTCCCCTCCCTCTTAACCTTTTCTTCTAGTATCAGTCCAGATCTACCTTCTGAGATGGGTATGAGAACTTGGCCTCCCTCACTGGGACTGGACTTGCTCCCACAGTTTGGCAGGTCTTTCTGTCACCTGGCTTCCCAGGAGCCCTGAAGCCTGACCTCACAGATTAGCTTGTCTTACTGTGTCTCAAGATTGGTGCCCATCCTGCACCCCATCCATAGCCCTATATTCTCTCCATCCTCCTTTCTAGCAGCTGCCACCATATTTCTACTGCTATTTTCCTAGCAGAAAGCCCATTTTTTCCCTTTACTGGAACTCAGCCATCCTGTGCTCTAAGCAGGGATCATAGTGTAAATTCATAGATGACACAAAGGACATGAGAAATTACAGTGTGGAAAGTTTCTCTGGCCACTACACAGCTGGATGGCTCTTAAGCTTTATAAACATGACCCAGCACAGTGCCTTGCACATAGTAGGCACTTGATAAATGCTGAACTTGGAACCTTAAACTTGGAGTCGTGGGATCTGGTTCAAACCCTGGGTACCTACTACTGAATGAATACCTTGGGCAAATCAGATAACCTCCATGGACTTCACTTTCTTGATCCGTAATAAGGACTGACTGAAGTTCCTTCTAGCTCACTCAGTCAATAAATGCTTATTTAGGTCTTTGATCCTTTGATCCAAAAATTTTATAGAAATTTTATTGAAAAATATATCTATGTATAATGATATATCTCTATATAAAATAATATTATACACATATATGTGTGTGTTTATATGTATACGTATATGTATGTCAGCTACATTTCCCAATGTGTCCCTGGGACTGTAATTTATTTATTTATTTTTGGGTATAGAGAAATCCTTTTACTGCCCTATATACTGCCCTACATAAAGATCCTTTGGATCTTAGGTAAAGATGGACTCTGAATTAAATTCCTCAGAATGCAAGGACATTCAAATTCTCTGATCCAAAAGCCTCTTCCGGCTTCCTCTGTTTTCTCTTCTGTCTTCTCCAAACCTGCAGAATCAGTCACTATAATTAGAAAAGGGGGCAGGGCCCTAAGCAGCCTCCTGCAATAGGGCCCAATTGTTTACCTTTATTACTTCCTCTTATAGGGCAGCACCTTCTCGGTAACATTGAGAAGTCAAGTGATTTGTCAAAGATCACACAGCCAGTTGGTGTCAGATGCAATAGTTGAACCCAGGTCTTCTTAGCTTTGAGGCCAGTTCTCTTTCCACTAAACCAGGTTTCTTCTCAAGCAAGTACTTCTCTACAAATATTAGAATCTGATAGAACTCACTCATTAAGGCCTGTTTCTCCATCTATAAAATCAAGGATTTTATAGCATTTATAGCAAGAGCACAGATCTAGAACAGCAAGAGACCTGGATCTAAAACTATAAGGGCCTTTTGAGATCTTTACAGATGGGGAAACTGAGACCTGGGGAGGTTCCTTACTTGCTCAAGGTAATACAGGTAATAAGCATCAGATTTGACAGGATTTTAATCCAGGGCCTCCAGTCTCCAGAGCCAATGCTTCTTCTTCTTTGCCACATTACCTCCCTCTTGCAGTCCTTTGTTTTACTGATGAGGAAACTGAGGTACAGAGAAATGAAATAATGTACCCAAGGGCCCACGGGTATCACTACAGCCCTATCTCAGGAATCACTAGATTCCAGATCTAGTGTTTTATTATGCCCCACTGTCTCTAAGTGAGTGCTAGGGTCCTTTTCAGCATCTTATGTACCTTTGAGTATATGAGGGGTCATCTCTGTAGGTGAGCATGCTGATTGTTACCCAAAGGTTTGTAGAAGCCATCACTATTTCATCCTGGCTATTGACAACGATGACACCGCAATCACAGAATCATTGATCTAGAGCTGAAAGGGACCTTGGGGACCATTTAGCCATTTATTTTAAAGATGAGGAAACTGAGTCTTAGAGAAGTTAAAGGACTTGCCCAAAGTCACACAGGTAGTGAGGACCAGAGATAGAATTTGAACTCAGGTCCTTTGACTACAAATCGAGCACTCTTCCATTGCACCAAGCTGCTCCATCTTCCTTTTTTTACTTCATTTGGATGTACTATAGAATAGCTCCATGAGCTTTTCATGGGGAACCTCCACCAATTGCAGAAAAGAAGGATGGATGTAATTTTAAAGCACTGGGGAGTATGCCATTTAAAGGAATCTAATGGTAAATAATTTTGTAAAACAAATAATCACACTTTAATTGACCTTTGGGGCAAATAGAAATGTTCATCTATTTGGTTTTACTTAAAAGCAAGTAATAAAGGCAAACAATTGGGACCTATTGCAGGAGGTTGCTTACGGCCCTGCCCCCTTTTCTGATTATAGTGACTGATTCTGCAGGTTTAGAGAAGAGAGAAGAGAAAACAGAAGAAACCAGCAGATGTTTTTGGATCAGAGTAATTGAATGACCTTGCATTATGAGGAATTTAATTCAGAGTCCCTCTTTACCTAAAGATCCAAATATCAACCTTTTCACTGTCTTCATCTCCCTCCCACTTTTCTCTTCACACCCAAAAATATCCACAGAGCAGCAGTTCTCAGAGTGTGGACATGGACCCCGAAAGATCTCAAGACCTTTTCAAAGAGTCTGGGAGGTTAAAACCATTTTTGTTATAATACTAAGATGTTATTTTCCTATTAAAATACTCCTCCCCCTTCCAGCTATACATCTTTCTAAGGCTAGATTGTCTTCAGACATTTCAACCAAAACAGCATATTGCAACAGATCAAATGCAAAAGCAGATAGGAGAATCCAGCTGTTTTCCATTAAGCCAGACATTAAAGAGATTTGTAAAAATATGTAAAACTGCCGCTCTTCTCGCTTTTGTTTTGAAAATATAGTTCTTTTTTCATAGAAAATATATGATTTATGTTAACAAGATGTAATGGGTTCACCATCACTATTTTTAAATGAATAAATATTTTAAAAATGTATCATTTTCATTTCTAATATGATAAATATCAATGGATATAATCCCACATAAACAAAATCTCTTTGAGGCCCTCAACAATTTTTTAAGAGCGTAAATGGAGTCATCGATATTTTTTAAGAGTATAAAAGTATCTTCAATAATTTTTAAGAGTGTAAATGGGTTCTGAGACCAATAAGTTTGAAAACCACTGCCATAGAGGATCATAGGATTTGGTGCAAGAGAGGATATCTCTAGATGATCTAGTCCAGGGGTGGGGAACTTGCAGCCTCAAGGCCACATGTGGCCCTCTAGGTCCTCAAGTGTGGCCCCGTGACCGAATCCCAACTTCACAGAACAAATACCCTTAATAAAAGGATTTGTTCTGTAAAATTTGGACTCAGTCAAAAGGCCACACTCGAGGACCTAGAAAGCACACATGGCCTTGAGGCCGAAGGGTCTCAACCCCTGATATAGTCCAATCTTCACATTTCAGAGATGAAACTGAGGCTCAGACAAGTGCAGTGACTCTATCTATGTCACACAAGTAATAAGTGACAGAGTCAGGATTTGAACCCAGGTCTTCCTTCACATTTACATATTTACATGCACGTGCATTCCTTTTTTTAAGATCCCTTCTGGATCTGTATCTACGCTGCTAAGATACCATGTCTTTTCCCTTCTTGACCCAGTGTTTTTTTGGTGACTTGCTGGATAGAGTCAACCAGCTACTGATGCTCCTTCTCCAGAGAAGGTAACTTCTCAGGGGCTGGCGATGCTGTGGGTTCCACAGTCTGTCCAGTAGCATGTATGGGGCACTCAAGGAGAACAGGTACACCAGGTGTGAGGGCTCGCTGAGCCCTTTTTAGGCCTGCTTATTCACCGTTGGTGTCCACCTTCAGCCAATTCTCCCTGTGGCTCTAAGAAGCTATAGCTTGCTCAGCAGCCACACCCTGGTAAAACCTTCTCAGCAGACAGGCTAAACCGGGTTGAGGGTAACTGACAGGCTTCAAACCCCTCTGCGTGTCTTCCCCGAGTGGAATGAGCAGATGAGAATAATTTGTTCCAACAGCCATGAAGCTGGCTGAAGCAGGTACTGTGGAGTGCTGAGAGCTTGGTCAGACATCAAAAACACCAAGGTCATCCGCTGTAACTGGGCCATCGCCAATCACGCTGACTTTTGTCTTGCCACTGGACTTCGATGACTCAGGAAGAGAGTGAGACTGATGCCTTTGTGCAACTCTGCCTCGCTTAAAGCCAATTCACACTCAAGTGTGCCATCATCTGTGATGTCATTGGGCCTCTTTGGAAACGAAGGGCAAACAACAATATAGCATGTGTATGAGTATGCAAACAGATAGAGATGAGAAGCCTCATGGCGTCGTGGAAAGAACACTCTTGGAATGTTGGAGTTAGGAGCCCTGGGTCTAAGCATTGGCTTTGATACTTACTGCTGTCTGACCCTATGTATCTTGTCTCACTTTTTTGGCCCCCAGCTTCTTCATCTGTGAAGTGGAAATAGTAAACTTTTACTATTTACTTCACATGTTGATTGTGACGAGTGTCTTGTAAACTGTAAAGTGCTATATAGAAGTATGAGTTATTAATATGTGTGGCTACCTTTATATAGACTCTAGATGCTAATCCCTTCCTCATAGCTAATCTGTGTTTCTTCTGCTTAATATTGATATATGATGTCATTGTTCCCACAGTGAGTGATTCCGGCCTATCCCTGCCCCTGCTGCACCTGGATACGCTGTGGCTTTGCTTCTTTTCCAGCTGCCCAACTTACTCTTGGGTAGTTTGATGTCTCAGCCATTAAGCCAAGACATGAATGGACAGTGAGGTGTTTGCTTCATTCACAGGCCAGGGGTAAGTACATTGGGGGTGGTGAAGGGAGGGAAGGAGGGAGAGGTGGGGATAGGAAAGGGTAAATTCCTAAGGGCAAAGTACTCACAATATCATGTCCATCTTGGAGTGTTAAGGGAAGCCATCCGGATTTTTCTGACTAATCTATAGAACCTTTATGGAAGATGTGAGATTTCCAGGGATCTTTAAATTTAAATTTTAGGAGAGATCTGGGTGAATTGTGAACAGTGGTGTGCAGGAGCCAGCTTGTACCTCTGGAGAATTGTTAAATTTTCAGTGTTAACATTTACTCCTTGGAAATCAGCAAATGTTACAAATCAAGGCTTGATAAATTATTTCGTTGATTGGATAGACTTAAGAAAATGATGGAGAAAATGTTAATAAGGCAGATTAAACTGAAATGTGTGTCATGCATTCATTTTCTTTTCCTGGAGAGCTGATTGTTAAATATTTACAAGCTTAGCCTTGGCTATAGGGAAAGTAAAAGAGTGTCTAAGCTCATAGTGCAACTAGGAGAAAGCTGGAAATAATATAGTTTTGGGGTTTTTAAAAGTTGATTAAACATTTCCTCTGCAATCTTATTTACACTGTTAAATTGTTTTACTCAAACTTCAGCATTATGCACACTAAATTATCTTAAGCTCTGAATGATCAGAGCCCTAATTAACATGATTTACTCTATACCAACGGTTTTCATTCAGTAAGAATACTGGAAAAGTTAGAAAATAGGGTAGAACTACAATGAGAAGGCAGATCCAGCCTGGTTTCCATGTGTTTTGTGGCATTTAGGTTATGTAGTAGATAGAGAGCTAGACTTGGAGTCAGGAGGACCTGAGCTCAAATCCTGATTCAGATGCTTATTGGTGGCCAAGGGAAAGTCAGTTAACCTTTGTCAGCCTCAGTTTCCTCATCTGTAAAATGGGGATAATAACAGCACTTAGCTCAGGCTGTCTGAAGTGAAGAGGCCCCCCTGTTTCATGAAGGGTCATCAGACCCTTCCAAAGGCATTCATTGAACATGAATGCTACCGGGACACTGTTCTCATTAGCCAGCATCCTCCTTACACAAAGATTCCACCAACCACAAAACCATGCCAGGGAACTGCTCTCTCCATTTGATGAACAGCGGCCATTGCACAAGGAATAAAGTGGCCCATTTGCAGAATTACTGAACGAAGCGTCCTCAGCTTAGGAGACCTGGGTTCTTGTTCTCTACTTGCCATCAACTAATGTTACCTTAGTGAAGTCACAATCTGGGCCTCCATTCCCTTGCCTGTAAAATGAAGTTGTTAAATGAGATAAAAGCTCGTTTATATAACACTTAAAGTACTTGGCTCACAATAATCTCACATAGTCCCTAATGCAAATATTGTCCCCCTTTTTACAAATAATTCTCATTTCCAGACCTCTTTAAGGTTTATAAAAGACTTTTCTCACACTATTCCTTGAAGTCAACAGTGTGTTTTTATCCCCATCTGATGAATGAGGAAACTGAGGCTTGCTCTTTGGTCGTTGTTCTTCATACTCAGAGGACCAAAATGACATCATGATGTTAGGGTCAATGTACAGTGTGTCTGATTATAGCTGATCAGACCAGTATGAGCTTGGAAGGTTCTACTGCAGGCTGAGCACAAATAGTCCATTTGAACTGGAGTAGAGATGTCTCATAAGAGCCAAATGAATTGCCTGTGGCCACATGGTTAATAAGTGTTTAGAGTCACTAAAACAGGAAAGCATTTATTAAGTTTCAAACCCAAGTCTTCTGATGTGGCAATAACCCTGAAGGAAGAACATCAGGAGCAATGAAACTTCGAATGAGCTGAAGCTAGTAGGGGAAGCTAAGGATAATTTTAGATTGTGAGCAGGAATTGTCTTTTGGCTCTTTTTGTATCCTCAGTGCTTTTCACAGTGCCTGGCACATAGTAGATGCTTAATATTGATTTAGTGATTGATGAAAAGGCAGGGAATAGGAAAGTCAGGTATAGTGGAAGGAAAATAGAGAATCCAAGAGGAGACAGGAGCGTTGCTTAGAGAGGTGGAGTGATAACAGGTAGCTGGGAGAAGTTGGGACAACTCTTATTCTGTTTCTTTTCCTTGCCAAGGAGAATGGAAAGGATAGAACAAAAATATCTAATTGGGAATAAAAATCTAAGCTAAGTAGGCAGATTGTAAGAGAGGTCCTAGTCACCCTTGATGAGTTCAAGGTACTAGTCTCAGATTAACTATATCCTGTGTCACTAAAAGAGCAGGAAGTAATGGTCGATGAATCATTGCCAAAGATCATTGAAAGATGGTGGAGGACGGGGAAAGAGCTTCAAGGCTTGGAAAGGGCAAATATTGTCCTGGTTTTAAAACAAAAAGAAAAGAAGAGAACCTTGGAATCTTGTAATATAGTCAGTGAGTTTGGCTTCAGGTTCCAGAAAAATTCTAGAGTGTATTTTAAAAGGGATAAGTTTTGAAAATCTAGAAAAGGACACTGTGGTCACAAAGAATCAGCAAGGATTCTTCAAGAAGGAGTAATTAACACTGTTGACCTTCTTTGGCAGGATAAATGGGTTAGCAGAATAGGGAAATGCTAGAGGTTTAATTTGCCTGACTCTAGCAAAGCCTTTGGTAAAGACTTTCATTCTATTTCTATGGACAAAATGGTGAGACATGAGATAAATGATAGTATAGATGGATTCAGAAGAAAAAGTTGAATGATGCAATCCAAAGAATAATCATTAATGGTTCAATGTCATTTGGTAGAAGGACTACTTAAGAGGATAATGACAGGGGTGGTGGTGCTGGTGGTGATGATGATGATGATGATAGTGATGACGGTGATGGTGATGTTAGCTAACATTTACATAATGCTTTAGATTTGCAAACACTTTACAAATGTTATCTCATTTTATCCTCGAAACAACTCTGGGAGGTAGAAATTATAATCATCTCTGTTTTATGGATGAGCAAAACGAGTAAACTGAGTTAAATAGAGGTTAAAGTGACTTGGCTAGGGGCATACAGCTAGTAAGTGTCTGAGGCCAGATTTGGATTCAGATCTTCCTGACTCCAGGTCCAGGGCTCTATCTATCACTGCACCACCTAGCTGCCTTATTTAGCATATTTATCTAAATACTCAACCTATTCAGCAATGGCTTGAATACAGGCATCAGTGGCATACTTATCAAATTTGAGGAGGACAAAGGTAGGAGGGATACCTAATGCATTGCATGGGATGGCTGAGTTAGGATCCAAGAAAATCCAAGCAAGCTAAGATGATGGCTTTAAAATGAAATGTACTGAGGCAGCTAGATGGTGCAGTGGATAGAGCACTGGCCCTGCATTCAGGAAGACCTGAGCTCAAATCTGGCCTCAGACACATAACACTTACTAGCTGTGTGACCCTGGGCAAGTCACTTAACCCCATTGCCTAGCCAAAACAAAACAAACAAAAAAATTAAATGTACAAGTGATAAACATTGTGTTGAAAAAATCAACTTTGTAAGCACAAAATGGGGGAGGTATGACTATGGTACTATTTGTATGGGGGGGGGAAATGGGATTTTAGTGAACTGCAACCTCAATATAAGTCAACTGTGGGATATGGTAGCCAAAAAACTTAGTGCAACATCCCCAATTTCTATAATACCTTTTATCATCCTGGCCCCACTCCTCTGGATCTCTTTCCAGCTTATCATTGTTGAAGGGGCTATGGATGTTTTGCCTGGAGAAGAAAAGACTTTGTAGTCACATGTTAGCTGTCTTCAAATGTTTAATGGGTAGTTACATGGAAGAGTGAATTAGACATCTTCTCCCTGGTCCCAGAGGGCGCAGCTAGGAGCAGTGGATGGAAGCTGTGGAAAGACGGATGTGGGCTCAAGCCATGGAAACACACCCTACCTGAGCTATTCCAAAGTGCAATGGGGGAGGCGGGGGGGGGGGGGCTGCTAGGTGGTGCAGTGGATAGAGCACCAGCCCTGGATTCAGGAGGACGTGAGTTCAAATCCGACCTCAGACACATAACACTTACTAGCTGTGTGACCCTGGGTAAGTCACTTAACCCCGTTGCCTAGCCCCCCCCCCAAAAAAAATCCCCACAACAACAACAACAACAAAGTGCCTTGGGAGGGAGGAAGGGAGTGTTCCTTCCCCAGAGCTTTTCAAGCAAAGACTAGCTGACAACTTGTCAGGCATGTTGTAGAGAGGATTCCAGTACATACTGGATTAAATAGCCCCTGGTGGGCCCTGTGGATGCTGAATTCTGTGGGTGTAGGACTCCATGTCCCACATTCTTTCTGCACCGCCACTGTGGCTCTCTCAATAAGGGAATAAGGGAATCGAGGCCTCCAGTTAAATCCAGACAATGAGCGTTTGTTAAAGCATCTAGCACGCCTCAATCTAGGCGTCTGCGTGGCTCAGTGGCTAGACTACCTGGCCTGGAGTCTGGAAGATCTGAGTCTGGATGCTTAATGACTGTGCGACCCTGAGCAAGTCATTTAACTCTATTTGCCTCAGTTTCCTCATCTGTAAAATGAGCTGGAGAAGGACATGGCAAACCACTCAGTAGCTTTGCCAAGAAACCCTCCCCAAAGGGGTCACCAAGAGCTGGACTGGACTGCAAAATGACTGAAAAACCAAAACATGTGCCAAGCGCTGGAGATATGCTGCTGTTTCACATCCGTAAATGTATGCACCACATGATATGGTTTCTGACTCTTAAATTAACTGACCTGCCCAACACACCCTGCTACCTCTAGGGTCCTTTACCACCTTGACACTCTATGATTCTACAGTCAGCTGTTGTTCTAGAAGGATGGTGAAAAAAAGCTTTTCAAGGGTTAGCAAGAGGCCAAATGTGGCCTCCCTTTCCTCACCTGTCAAACAAATCGGTTGGACTGGAGGTTGTCTAAGGCCCTTTGAGCAGAAAGGACTGCCTGCCTAACACAGAGGGAGCGAGGGAGGTGCTGTAGCAGGTAACCCAGGGATATCTCCGGATAGAGGTCCTGCCTTTATGAACCAGTTTCAGAGCAATCCTGTCCTGCCTGAAGGGAAGCAGATAAACTTCCCCTTGTTGAAAAGTCATGGCTCGGTCTGTGCTGCTACCTGGGGGCCTGCTGGTTGAGGAGGAAAGTGCTGGGAAGGTTTGCGGCTGATCTGTCCCCACCAAACTGGCCCTCTCAGCCTCCCTTCTCACAGGCACCAAACTCCCAGATGGTCTAAATAGGAAGAAAAGAGGAAAATCCGTATCCAATCTGTTCTATTCAGTGGAATGGAAGAGAATCTGCATCTCAATCTTATCTTTGTGCTGGGGCTTGGCTAAGCTTGGCCCCCCAAGTGGCAAATAGTGTACAGCCCAGGAGATGCCTTCACATCCTGCTCGGAGAATACACACAGCTGGGCTGTTGGCGGCATCCACTGAGAGTACCCTACATTTAAGGGGAGGAGTGTAACAGAGCTGAGCCAGGGAAAGGATCGGGAATACCCCCTCCCTCCCATAAGGTCAGCCTTCCCTTCCCTCTTCTTTTTCCCTTTCCTCCCCCACCAAACCTCAAATTGGGTATATTCTTTCCAGCTCTGAATTTCTCTCCTATTTCCTCTTCTTTTCTTTCCCGTTTTTTTTTCTCCCTCTTTCTCCAGGCACTGGGCCAAGTGGAGACTTTGAATGGAAGTGAGGAGGGTGGGGGTAGGGTTGAGTAGAAGGAAGGGGGCCCCCTGAGGGCCTCCTACAAACAGTCCCACACAGAGCCATGCTGCCTCCTCCAAATGCACTTGAAACTCATCCCGACAATTGCTTCCTTCTCTGCCTGGGGCCATCCTCCCATCCACCTTGGTCAGATAACTAGGCCCAGCTGTAGTCACTGCTGTGCTCACAGGATGTGTACTCTAGCAGTGAAGCAGAGAGGTGATGCTCAGGCAAGCTCTAAGGGGTCTCATGGCCCCTCCGTGTGGTCCAGGTTTGTCCTTTGGCCTTGCATGTCTGGAGGTGGCAGGCATGGGCTGGAGCTGAGGCAGGAGGTGGAAGAGGCCCTGACAGTGACTGGCTCATGAAGCAGGGCAAACTCATGTGGCACCGAGGGTTTCCCAAAATAGCAGGAGTCAGCTAAAACAGCTTCCTCCTTTTCTCCCTCCCACCTTTCAGAGTCTCCCAAACACTCATTCCTGGACCCTAACACTGATAGCAAGAGTAACATCTGGCAAGATCTCACTTGAGCCTGAGTGTCCCAGACTCCAGCCCCCTGACTCCCTGCTTCCAGACCTGCCAGATCCCCTAATCTCTCCAACTGTCCCATAATCCGAGCTTCCAGACTTGCTAGGAAATAGTATGGAGCAGTAGAAATAGCAGCAGATGGATAGACCCATGGCCCAGGTCAGGTATTCACTGAATGACCTTGAGCAAGTCTGTTTGCTTTTCTGGGCCTCAGTTTCCTCTTCTGTAAAGCATGTGGGTCAAACTTAAGTGGTCTCCAAGGCCTTTTCTAATGCTAAACTTTTCTGATTTTATGATGTGTACCAGAAAGTCAATTAATCATTTAGAGTGAGAAAGAGCTCTTCCCAGTAGGGAAGCTTCCTTGGGAAATCATATTAAGATCAGAAGGTTGCTTGCTGACTATGCCGAGTTAGACAAAAGAGGAATCCATAATTCAATTCAGAAAACAAAGTTCCCAGGGCATGTTGAGCACCTAGCTAGATGCTAGGGGAAACACAAAGTTTAGAAAGTAAAGACACTGCTGCCTTCATGGAGTTTCCAGTCTAGCGAGGAAATACACACACACACACACACACACACACACACACACACACACACACACATCATAGTAATATATAATAGTAAGTGCTTTAGAGAGTTACAAAATAAAGTGCTTTTCAGGGTCTGAGAGGGAAGATCATTATCGAGAGGGGGTATCGTGAAGGGCTTCCTGAAAAAGGTGATGTAGAGGGCAGCTAGGTGGTGTGGTAGATAGAGCTCTGGTGCTGGAGTCAGGAGGACCCAAGTTCAAATCTCTCCTCAGACACTTAACTCTTAACTAGCTGTATGTCCTTGGGCAAGTTGCTTAACCCCATTGCCTAGCCAAAAAAAAAAAAGAAAGAAAGGAAGAAAGAAAGAAAGAAAAAGATGGCATATGAGTTGAGATTTAAGGAAGGATAGAGATTCAATAGATGAAGAGCCAGAAGAGGCAAAGAGAGGCTGGGGAATGAAAGATGCATTTCAGGGTAGTCCATTTTGGGTAAAATAAAATTAGTCCATCAATCCATAGGCTGTATTAAAAGCTTACTATGTGTCAGGCATTGTGTTAAGCTCTGGGAATACAAAAAAAGGCAAAAACACAGTCTTTGCTCTCAAGAAGCTTACCTTCAAAGGTGAGAGACTAGATGGATAAAAGTGGGTATGTAGAAGAAGGTTATCTGAAAGGCTGGGGAAGTGGGGTGCCAGGAAAAGACCTCCTATAGGGAGATAGGGTTAGTGAGGAAAATCTGGGAAAGGGAGGTTGTTACCACATTGCAAGAGGCCTTGAATGCCAGGCAAAAGAATCTATATTTCACTCAACAGGCAATAGTGGATCTTAGAAGATTTTTTTGGGCAATAGAGAGGCATGGCTTGATCAATGCTTCCAGAAGGTTATCCTGGCTATATAACAAAGGCTGGTTTAGAGAGAGCCGGTAGGTGAAAAGACCTCATCATAATAGTCCAGGCTAGTAGTAAGGAAAGCCTTTACTAGGGTGCCAGTGGCAGGCTAGACAGGAGGAGATAGATGCTGCCGAGGTGGTATTGACAGGGCTTTGTAACTGATTGAAATGAGGGTCAAGGATGGAAAAGAGTCAGAGATAACAAACACCAAGGTTTCAAAGCAGGGAAGACCAGGTGAATGGTGATGCCACTCATTGAAATAGTCATCAGGAGGAGGTACCGGATTATGGGGAAAGATAATGGGTCCCCTTTAGGTCCTGTCGGTAGCTAAAGATGCCATTCTGGAGCAAGCCGAGAAGAAAGGTCAGTATTGGAGATGCCAATAGGACGCTCAAGCCCTCAGAGGACCAGAGGCCGTGCCCCCTAAGTGTGATAGCTGCTGACCCAGTTTCTCTCCGAGCTCCTCTTCTTCAGTGCTCTATGTTGCTCCTTTCCAATCCTCCTGGTTACATCAAAATATTTATGGCAAAGCATTTCCTGCTATTGCCCCAGGGATAGAGAGAGCCACTTATCCACAGGAACCTCTCTCCTAACATTTTGTGCCCTCTGATGGTTTTAATTAAAATTTAAGGAGGTTTAATTAATTAAAGAGGCTGGCAAGGCCTTCATAACCCCTGGTCTAGTTATAGATGAAGGAGGCCAGGGGGACAGTTGCTTTGGAACACAGCTTGGTGCCACCCCCCAGGATGGTGTCTCTGGGAAAAAAAGGTACTTTGACATTGTCCTCAGCTCTGATATACTTAGTCTTCTGTTTGACTTATCCCCCACGGACAAGGGGGATGCTATGGGACAGGAAGCTTCCCATTCCATCCCAAAGCTCAACTCTCAGCTCTTCTTTTCTTTATTCTTTCTTTTGGAGATTTCATCTGCTCCCACGGTCTTCAACTTCCTTGCTGTCTCCTTCTGTCTGCACTGTGGAACCAGCATCATATGGTTCCCATAGACAGCATTCTCACACATTCACAAACATGCGCGCGCACACACACACACACACACACACACACACACACACAGAGGCAGCTGTGAATACCAGCACTGTGGCCCCCTATGCAAGCTCTAAAAGCAATTAGGATGTTCCCCCCACCCCCCACCCCCCTTGAGAATCAGGCAGGCAGCATGAGAACATGCAAACAGAAATTCTGTGGCCTGATGATTTTTAGAAAATGTTTTGCTTTACTTGTCACTGAGGGAGGCTTTCCCAAAATAGCATGAGTTGCTGGAGCGGCTGCCTCCCTCCCCTACTCTCAGAGTCTCTCTGGTCCCCAGCACAACACTCCAAAGGACAAATGACTTGAGTCTCCTAGTCCCCCACTCCCTAGCTCCCCATTCGCTTTCTTCTGGTCCCTCAGCTACTTTGGCCTCATCTCCCAAAGCCCTCAGCACTCTAACCTTTCCTGGTGTTTTGTACACTCCCAACCCCCCATCACTATCTTCTGCTACCCATTCAAATGCCTGTAACCCAAACTATCCGTCCTCCCCAGTCCCTAGTACTAATCCAGGGGCAGAAGAGGCAGGAAAAGTTTTCCTTTAATCACTTCCCAAATAAAAGTCATCCTTGCACAACTATTAAGAGAGTTTGAGTTATAGGGACAGGAGGTACATTGGTGCTAAAGTCATGGGAGGTAGGTGAAGGCTTTCCCTCTCTGTAGGCATAGACAGTATGCATTTATTACTGTTAATAACATCCACAGACTAGGGGTTGTGGCCCTGGACTGAGGGACAATGCTATTGAGTTTTCATGCTTTTTGTCAGAAGTCCTAACTGTGTATTTTCCTGTGTGAGCAGCTGGGCTAGGTGCTGTATCAAGCGTGTGATACATACCAGTGCCCATAAATGAGTGCTGGACTCTTTCCATTCAGCATACTAATGCACTACCTATGCTCTCCATTCCATGGATAAGTGAGCATTGACTATATTTACATGAAATGCCCAATGGCTTCCCTTTGCCTTGAGCTCTGAATATTAGCTTCATTTCACCTTGTTTGATCTGCTCCCTCCCTCTCTCCTGTCTTGTTTTAGGGTGCCGCTCTCTCTCCCCACTAAGGACCCATGGAGGTTGTGATGAAACAGGCCAAGGCACACCTAGACAGAAGGCTCATTGACATTCACAACTGGTAATTTCTGCTGCTACCATTCAAAAAATCAAGGGGTTTCTCCTCCAAAGACTACCCCACTACACCTTCCTCTTGCATTGTCCTCTGGTCCCAATACTCTCCAATGGCTTTTGAGCACAACACGCGCTCAATGAATGACTGCAAAAAAAAATCTTCCTGTAATGTGAGCAGATTTGAGATGACAAGCTATTTCAGGATAAGTAAGCTATAGGTACACAGTTTTGCTCCTCGAGCCAGCTTGGCACTGCTCAGAGATGATCAGGCATTTACAATCATCTCAATGTTCAACACCTCAGGTTCACTTTCCATCTCTAGGGCACTAGAGGACCTGTCTTTTCTTGCTTCATTTTGTTTAGTCTTAAATTAGTATTTTTTAAATGAATATGTAAAGTGCTTTGCAAGCCTTAAAGCTCTAGATGACCATTGCTATTATTTTTTTAAATCTCTGTATGTTCTCTGCTGCCTGGCACAGTGCCCTGCACATAGTGGGTGCCCAATAGATATTTGTTGCTGTTGCTGAGTTTCAGTTGTACCACATGGGATTCAAGTGGAAGGTTCCTTCTTCTCAGCTGTGTGAACCCCAAACAGGGGTTCCCCTGTATTTCTGCCTAACAACTTTAGGATATTTTCTGTCATTTCCTAATTTAAGTGTTCTAGATCCAATCTTTTAAAAAGTGGTTTATTTACACGTCGAAAAACCAAGCTTACAATATAGTCATGGGACCACATTGATATCTCAGTGAGGGTCACACACAGTCCAAAGGGTTGGATCTAAGCCTTACTTTGGCTTTTCTGAGGTAGGGAAACTTCATTGGATTTCACTGGTGGAAATCACAGTGCCTCCCTGACTGCTTTCTCAAACTGAGATTCTCATCCATGACTTTCTATAAATCCGCTACAGGGCATTCACCCAGAATGCCCTAGACCTTCAAAGACCTTTCTCTGTTTCAGTTTAACATCTTGGGAGTTCCAGATGTTGCCTCTTTTTTGCCATACATGACCAGCTCACATGCTTCTCTGGTCATACATGTCCTCAAATATGTATTTCAGGCTATTTCTTCCGTAGAGGTCTTTCGTTGGTAACATCGTATAGCCTACTTGGACGCTCTGCCCTTGACATTTATATTGTGGTATTCCATACGGCAGTGACAGCAGGATGCCAGGGAACAGGGAGGAGCAGAATGGGCTAAGGATCAGATCTTCATTCAACAGGTGTTTATTAAGCACCTACTGTATGACAACTACTGTGCTAGGTAAGAGGATGAAAAGACAAAACAGAAAACAGTCCCTACCCTCAAAGAGCTTCTATTCTCTCCACCATCTGCACACAGTAATTTAATTTTTGTTACTCTCAAAATAGTATATTTAGCCAAAGAACACTACTGGAGCATACTTTTCCTCCTTTAAAAACAAACAAAAACACAGCCTTTTATTAAAACAGCTGCACCTAAAATGGCCTTTAAAACGACATCTGTATTTATAGACAATGCTTTGCAGCAACTTTTAAAATATACAAAGTCTGAATAATCATTAATTTTTTTCCTCATCAGCTCATCTGACCCTAATCTGTATATTTGGGCTTCCTTTCTACCTTACTCTGCTTATCTTCCAGCAGAGTCCAAACCCTTCCCAACTTGGCTGGGCTTCAAAGTGCCTTGGGGCTGCTTCCTTTAACACAGCTGCATTCCCATTCTGCCAAGCTTGGTCTCCCCCTCTCACACCTACCTGGGGAAGAAATGCCCTAGGGGAAGAGAGTAAGAGCTTGGCTCCCAATGCCACCCCCTTCTCCTCCCCCTACCCCCACCCCACACATCCCCTCTCTCCTTCCCCTGGCAGGCCTGGAAGCTAGCTGCTGGAGTTAATTTGAATATTGCATTTCTTTCTTGAACTGCCTGGTGCTAGCTGAAATGGAACCAGCCTCAGTTAAAGGCACCCTATCCTTATGCAGCAAAGAATGCTATTTTAAACACTGATTTAAACCAATCTCATGACATCCTCTTTACCAATCTCCCTTTTGCTCTCTGGAGAGAATTCTGTTATCAAGCCTTCCCTAACTGACCTTCCTCTAGTCAGCTGACATAATCCTTTCTGGATGCTCAAACTCTAAAGACCTTCCTTTTCCTCACTTCCTCCCCAGTCCATTTTTCCATCCCTTCCACCAGTCATCACCAGAGGCAGGATTAGACGTGGTGGCTCTAGGTGAGGTTTGAAAATGGTGCCCCCTGTATGTTACTGTCTATCAAGGGCTTTGAGTCTTGTCTGGGACAAGACTTGTGTTATGGAGAATGGATTTGAGAGGCATTAAGTCAGCTACCTAAATTCTCTACCTTTAGTCCTGGCTCTGGTCACCATTAGCTTAAGATGAAGAATCCTAACGCCAGCATTCCTAAAGCACATTAAAAAATATCATAGTTATTCTTAATGTATCATCATCATCATCATCATCATCATCATCATCATCATTCTGCCATTTATATGGTACTTTTTAAGTTTTACAAAGCATTTGACCTACATCAGCTCATTTGAGCTCCCCAACAACCCTGTAAGAAGCAAGTACTGCAGGGATTATTATGCCCATTTTATAGAAGAAGAAGATGAGGCTCAGAGAGGTTCAATGATTTCTAGTGTCTGAAGGAGGATTCAAGCCAGTTCTTCCTGAGGACCTGGAAGTCAAGTCCCAGCTCTGCCACTTATAATTTGAGACCTTGAACAACATTTAACTATTCTAAGCCTTAGTTTTCTCACCTATAAAATGAGGGGATTATATTAGATGATCTTGGCTCTAAATTTATGCTCCCATGATTCTGGGTCCAGTTCTGTACCATGCTATATTCTCAGTTGAAGCAAGTCTAGGCTTAAATCTCCCATCTACCTGTCCCTGCCCCTTCAATTTAGACTATTTACTTTGGCTCTTTTTTAAAGCCTATTTTTACATTTGATGATAATAACTGGCATTTTTATAATACTGTGATTTAGCAAGTATTTTCTATATTCTAGTAAGGAGGCTATAGTAATTGCATTGTGTCCTACTCAGACCATAGTTGGAGTATCATGCTCACTTTTGACACCACATTTAAAAAGGGCATTGATAATAATAATAGCTGACATTTATATAGTGCTTACTATATGCCAGGCACTGTGCTAAGCACCTTTTTTTGACATGGCACTTTTTTTAATTTAAATTTTTTTTAATCAATTACATATAAACAAAAATTTTTAACATTCATTTTAAAAAAAATTTGAGTTCCAAATTTTCTCCTTCTCTCCCTCCCCTCACCCTTTCCCTTTGAGAAGGCAAGCACTTTGATATGGATTATACATGTGCAGGCATGCAAAATATTTCCTATTAGCCATGTTGCAAAAGGAAACATAGACCAAAAAAAATTAAGCATAATAAAGAAAGTTTAAAAAAAAAGTATGCTCCAATATGTATCCAGACTCCATCAGTTCTCTATCTGGAGATGGATACCATTTTTCATTGTAAGTCCTTTGGAATTTTTTTGTATCATTGTATTGCTGAGAACAGCTAAGTCATTTACAGTTATTCATAGTATAATACTGCTGTTATTGTGTACAGTGTTCTCTTGGTTCTGCTCATTTCACTTTGCATCAGTTCATACAAGTTTTCCCAGTGTTTTCTGAAAGCATCCTGCTCATTTTTTCTTATTTGTGCTAAGCACTTTTACAAATATTATCTCATTTGATCTTCCCAACAACCCTGGGAAGGAGGTGCTATCAGCCGCATTTTACAGATGAGAAAACTGAGGCAAACAGGTTAGATGACTTGCCCAGGATCCCACAGATAGTACCTGAGGTCAAATTTGAACTCAGGTCTTCCTGGCTCCAAGCTCAGCACTTTGAGTCAAGCAGCTGCCCATAATGATAAGCTGGAAAGTGTCTGAAGGAAGGAAACGAGGCCTTGAGTCAATATTATTGGAAGATTGGCTCAAGGCATTGAATTAAAGAGAAGGCTCAGGAGGGACATGATGATAACTGCCTTCAAGTATTTGAAAGGTTGTATATGGCAGAAGAAATAGATTTGTTCTGTTTGATGCCAGAGGGCAGAACCATGGCTAATGGGTTTCCACCCATTGCAATGAGACAGATTTAAACTTGAAATGGATAAAAGCTTCCCAACAATCAGAGTTGCCTAAAAGTAGAATGGTTTATCTTGGGTTGGGGTGTGATTTTCTCTCCTTGGAGGGCTCCCAGCAGAGTCTTGTGGAACATTTTCCAGAGGGGATATCCTTGTTGGATGTGATGGCCAATGACGAAAATACTGTGAGTCTGTGCTTCAATTTTTTGATTCCCCACAAAACCTCATAGGATCAGTCACGTAGATTTATTATCCCCTTTTCATGAGCAATAAAGCATATTCTATACAATACATAATATCAATCAAGGAGGGAGTTGCAAATTTATTTAATGAGCAAACCCAGCCTCAGCCCTTCATTTCTGCGTTGGCCATCTGATGTGGGTTTCCACCAGTTACTCCTCCTGACCCTTAGTCCCCCACTCAGTCTCTCAGCCTCTCTGAGCATTTATCACTACCATTTATACTAGACATATTTCCAAGGAAATTCCTTAACTAGAAAACAATAAAGGGGCGCAGAAAGATGCTTCCATTGTCTTGATGTCTGTTGCCTTCAAGCCTAGAAATCTGGTTAGGATCTGGATAATTTGACTGGTTGGGGGTTCAGCCTCTGTTCCTAGTTTCTATAGGCAACGAGGTGAGGCCAGCGGATAGAGTGTTAAGTTTTTACAAACTCTAAAAATTATATAAGTACAATAATTATAATTATTAATTATTCTATTTTATATAATACATAATGTATATATTTAATATGTTTATATAATTATAAATTATTATTATTATTATAGAATACTGTTCATGTGTGAAGTGACAAGCTAAGATCGAGGATACTTGGGTTTTTCTTGGCCCAACTCAATCTTTAACATCTTAGACACTGAGCATTCCACCATCCCAGATCAGGAAATTATCTGTTTCACCTTTACATGAGTTCATATCCTGCCTCAGAAACTTAACTATGTGACTATGTGAAAATCACTTTTATCTCTCTTAGCCTGTTTCTTCATCTGTAAAATGGGTGACATAATAGCACTCACAGGATTGTTGTGAGATTCAAATGAGCCAATGTATGTAAAGTGGTTTACAAACCCAGAAGGACTACATAAATAATAATAATAATTACTATTATTATTATTATTACAACAGAGTACTGTTTATGTGAGAGGCAAAGAGGATCTGGGATACGTGGGTCTTTTCGTGAGCATTCCATCACCCCTACCATATCTGTTTGACCTTCACATGATCATGTGAGCTGGAAGGGACCTTGGGAGTCATAGAATCCAATTGTTCTCATTTTACACATAAGAATCCCAAGACCCCAGGAGGTCAAGTGACTTTCCCCAGGTGACATATCAAGACTCAAACCCAGGTCTCTGACTCCTGGTACTCTATCCAGGAGTGGTCATTTATTGGGCATCTGGGCTGGCCATCTCACTGAGGCTCCTAGCAAGACTAAGGTAGATGGGGTCATTTAAGGAATATCACCAGGCTGCAGTGCAGGATCCATTTTCCAGGTCCACTGATCCCCATACTGCCATACCACCAGACAGAGTTTTCAGAGACTTAGACCCAACAATTTTCTCCCTGCCTGAAATGTGTTACTCTGGGCACAAAGCCTACTGCCTTCTCCAACCCATTAGAAGGACAGGGAAAGTTTTCTCTGGAGTCCATTTCTCCTCTCGAGGTCAAGCAACTCTTTTTTTTCATGTCTAAGGGCTTTGCTCTACCTGCTGATTCCCAACTCTCAACATGGCAAAAATCAAACTATTTTGCTTCTGAGGGTGACAGTGTCTAGTGTCCTGTTGAGCTCCGTCTAAGCCCTCCTTATCTCCTGGTTGTGAGTTAAATTTCCACTTTTCAGTGTCAGGCCCTGGGGGACGCTGGGACAGACCACAGGACACAGGGGTGAGACTGGGTGTGGCCTAGCTCTCTCAGTGTGCTGTTGAAGGAAAACTGAGGTCTCAGTGCTAGACGGAAGCTTTTCAAGTAATGGGAAAGCCATACACGGGAGCTAGCTGTTGAATTACTTCCTTTGACTAGGATTTCCCATTCATTTTTTGTCACTGCGTGCTCACAGAGAAAGACAACTGGGCCTGAGGGGTGGCGGTTGGGAGGAGGGGATGCCCTATTGTCTGAGATAGTATGGTAGTAGATTTGGAATCCAAAAACCTGGATCTTGCACTTAGTAGCTATGTGACCTTTGGTGAGGCATTTAACCTCTAGTAACCTCAATTCTTTAAAAACAATTTTATTTAAATTTCCAGTTCCAAATTCTCTCCCTCCCTCTACCCTTCCCCCACCCATTGAAAGGGCAATCAGTAAGATACCCATTATTCATGTAAAGTAGTGCAAAATAGATTTCCACATTAGTCATGTTGCAAAAAATTTAAAAAAATTTAAAGCACAAGATTTAAAAAGTGAAAAAATCATCCTTCAATTTGCGCTTAGTCTGAACCTCAGTTCCTAATAAGGTAAGTTAGGGGAACTTACCTACCTCAAAGGACAATTGGAGGATTAAAAGAGTTAATGGATAGGAAAGCCAAACATCCACTGTTATTATCACCTTTTTTCCTCTCTTTTGGAGGCAGTATGTGCTGGGAAAGTCAAATCAGCAAGCATTTATTGCTTACTATGTGCCAGGCATTATGCTAAGAGCTAAGAATACAAACACAAGCAAAAAGACAGTCCCTGCCCTCAAGGAGCGTACATTCTAATGAGAGAAAATAGCACATTAATAACTTAATAGGACATCTTATAACATTAATGCATTATTAATATATTAATTTATTTTTACTTAGGTATTTATATAGTTGATAATATTTATAACATATTAATGGTATTATAATATCATTATACTTATATTATCATATTTATATTAGAAAAATAACAAAATATCTAAATATAATTACATATATAAACATATAATTCCATATAATTTACAAGTAAGTTTACATGTAAATTATATCTAAACATAATGATTATAACAATCACTTGAAATTCATTAATAATATATTAATATAGTACATTTTAATATGATGTAATAGAAAATAAAATAATATAAATAATACTTTAAGGTTTACAAATTGCTCTACAAATATTATTTCATTTTATTCTCACAACAACTTTGGGAGGTAGGTGCTATTATTATCCTCATTTTTCCAGATGAAGAAACTGAGGCAAAGAGAAATTAAATGACTTGTCCAGGGTCACATAGCTAGTAAGTGCCTGAGGCAGGATTTGAACTTGGGTCTTCCTGACTCTAGTCCCAGGGTACCTGGGTTCAAATGCTCCTACCTTTAATGCTTGCACTCTTAGTCACTTTGGGCATTTGTTTAAAAGAAAAAAAAGAAAAGGAGGGGGATTGGACTAGTAATGTTGAGCTTAAACAGAAATGGATCCTTGCAGGCTACCTTTTGACTTAGAAAACCACAAATCAACATTATCTATGTTGCATTATGTTTTTATTTATTTTATTAAATATTGCCCAATTTCATTTTAACCTGGTGCAGGACCACACTGTTCAGTGTGCAGGTGGCTGGCTAGTTTGACACCTTTGGGATGCGTGACCACCAAGGCACACTCCAGGCAGCTCAAAGTTATGCTCTCTCCATCTCTCTCTAGGGGCCCCAGAGCAAAGAGGACCTGCAGGCTTGAGCACTTCCCTTCCCTCCTCCTCTTTTGCATCCCATGCTGTGCTAGTGCTCCCACCTGGAGGCAGTGAAATCAACCAACAAGCAGGAAGGCCTTGGAGGACACGTTTGCATGCCAGCCCTAAGGGAGAGAGAGAAGTGGTAGGCATGAGACTCCTCCCCTAGGTACCTCTGGCCCTGGAGAGCTCAGGCTGGGGACTCGGGTGCAAGGGGAGAAGGGAGGGTCCTGTGGCTCAGGCCAAACATGTTCCAGGGGGCCAGCTGGGGCTGCTTGCAGTGGGGCAGGGAAGAAGCTCAGGGGTGGGGGTCTGGGAACAATGAGAGGAGGGAAGTGCACTTTCTGCATACTGTGTGTGTGTGTGTGTGTGTGTGTGTGTGTGTATGAGAGAGAGAGAGAGACACACACACACACACACACACACACCCCAGCTTTGGCTTGAGAACATGTTTTTGTGTGTGTCCAATTTCGCATATGATTTTATACCCTTCACCAAATGTCAAAATGCAAAGAGACATGACCCTCAGCCTCCCCTCCCCTTCCTCTGACTCTTTCTCCTCCAGGGTCTCTTTCTTGGTCAGTGTCTGGGTAGGAAGTCCAAAGGGTATAAACGAAAGAACTTGCCTTGGTATTTAGGCCAGGAAACCTGGGTTTTGGTCCTGACTATAGGTCCCTACCTAGCTATTTGGCCCTGGGCAAATCCCTTTTATCTCTCAGAGCCTCAGTTCTGTCCTCTGTAAAATGGACATGATAGCACAACTTGCAGGCACACAGAAGGAAGGAATTTATAAACTTTAAAGTGCTGAAGAAAAATGAGAGACATTTAAAGAATGCCTCTGCAGTGGAGACAGAGCAGGAAGAAGGGCTCAGGGCAGGAGGCCCAGTGGTGAGCGCACTCCGTCTCTGTTTATTGCCTGTATGACAGTGGGCATGCTTGAGTTCCCTGGGGGCCAGTCATTCTCCTTATCTGTATCACACTTGTCTCCCTGGTGGGGAGGACAGAAGAACACATGATGATAGGAAGAGGCAGGTAAGTGGTTGGCTTTCTCATTCATTAACTTTTTTAATCCACTGAGTTAGGTGAGGGTAACCTTTATTATTCCCATTTTACAGATGAGGAAACTGAGGTTCAGGGAGGTTTTGTATAGTGATCGTGTCAGCTGTCAAATCCTTTTCTTCAGAGGACTCCAGTGAATTGGGCAGATCGTCTCTGAAGGCTGGAATTATCTCTTTTAAAAATCATTAATTTATTTTGTTTTTTATGTTATCAGCATTTCTAAATATAACTCTCCCCATTCTCTCTCCAGTGAGATTATGTAAAAATCTTAGAAACAAGTGAGAGCCCAGTGTCTTTGGGCAGTCTGAGGCAATGGAAATGGTGTCTTAGGAAAGTTAATTTGCTGCTGGGCAGGGAAAGACTAAAACAAGGAGACCAAACACAGGCTATTGAAATGGTCTGGATTTGGGGTGTGAGGCCCCAAGCAGGACACCAGTGGAGAGGAAGGGATGAGCTCTGCAGATGCTAAACCCCCAAATCAGTAAGATTTGGTGACTGGTTGGGTGTGGCAGTTAAGAAGGGCATCCATAAAATATGTCTCCAAGCTGAGCTTTCACAGATATCAGAAATCACTTCAATCTAAGTTATCGGAGTTTGGGGTGGGGAAAGGAGTGCTTCCCTGCGGGGTGCGGGCATCCTTCCATGCCTGTGAATGCCTCACTGAAGGTATAGCTCTGATACCAATGTTTCTAGGCGTTAGGGGCAGGGAGAATGACAGAACCACCAAAGGCTGTGGGGCAGTGGGGCAGAGGGTGATAATGGGAGTAGATGGTGAGATGGAGTGTTCTGTGTTACAGGCATTCTCCCCAGGCCGAGGCTGGCAGCTAGAGCATCCATCATGGTCTTCCCCAGACCCCTGGCCATCACTTTGTCCTTGTCGGGCCTCATCCTGCTTGCATTGCACCTGTCCACTTCCCACAATGTGTCTGATGCCCCCAGCAGTGAGCAGCAACTGTGCACCTTGAGGGAACATCCGATCATAGCCTTTGAAGGTAAGTGCCCTGCCTCCCCGCTTCCATGCTGGCACCCTGTCTGTCATCATCAGCCGTGTTAGAGGGGATTTAAGTTTGATTAGGAATGATTTCCTAGCTATTGGGGCTATAGAACCTTGTAACAAATCATTAAAGGGGTATTGGAGAATATCCTTTAATGGGGTGGCTTAAATTTTTTTAAGTAGGGGAATCATCAATCTACTGGGCAGAGCCTGTTTTATTTTTATCTTTGCATTCATAGTCCCTGGCACAACAGAGAGAGAGAGGAATGCATAAAATATGACTCCAAGCAGGCCTTTATTGACGAGGGGTTGTGTACTAAAAGTGGTGTACACCTCAAAGCTAGGCAGACCTGGGTTTGGGTCAAATACTGGTTGTGTTACCCTGGTGAAGTCACTTAACCTCTCTTTGAGTGCTCAGGCACCTCTCATAACAGTGTAAGTTGTAGAGAAAGTGGTGGCCTGCATTGGAAGAGGGAGTTCCCTCCATTGGGAGTTCCCCATATCGATGAAAGCACAGGTCCAGTGCCTGTCCCCTATTCCCAGTGCCTTGTATATAGTAGGAGATTAATAAATGCATATTGGTTGATTGATTGAGTTACTTTTAATTCAGTTCTTAATTGAGGCTGGATCCAATGATCTTTCCAGGCCTCTTCTCTAATGAGTAAGTAGAAGAGGGAAGGAGGGAGGGAGGGGAGGAGACCCTTGGGACCCCCTTGATAAGAATGGAGACTGGTGCTCTTTGCATAGCTGGGGAAGTCATCATGGTAAGAGAGGCTGAGGGAAGGAAAGTCCACGCATGACCTTAATAATAATGACTTACTCATTTTAATAGTACTCAGAGGTCACTGAAAATCAGTGGTCTGTGCTCATTATAGTGATGGTACTCTAGCTGCTGTCAGTCTTCCTTGGTCTTGGCAGAGGCCCCAGGGAAAGGAGATTTGATGAAGGCAGATACAGTCTCACCTCTCAGTCCCTACAGGATCTCTTTGGATGGCTCCTGGGCTGGTTTGGAAACCTTCTTTGCCCTGTTCTGTTGTACATTTTTATCACTAATGTGGATGAAGGCATAAATGGTGTGCTTCTCACATTTGCAGATGAAATAAAGCCGAAAGACAACACTTACACTTTGAATGACATGCAGGATCCCAAGCAATCTGGACAGGCCAGAAAGAGGGGTTCCTTGAAAAAATTATTCTTAAAAAAAATAACCCCCATCAATACAGGAAGGGGGACAGCATGACTGGACATTTTAATGTTTAATTACTATGAAGAAGATCTGGGGGGTTTTAGAAGATTGTAAATTCAATATAACTCAATCCCATGATATGGCAGGACCCCCCTCCACACACACACACACACACACACACACACACACACACACACACACACACACACACACTCCACCCACTCCAAGCTAACTTCATCTTGGATAGTATTGCTAGCATCTTGTCCTGAATGAAGGAAGGGATAATTCTATTATGCGTGGCCCTGGTCTGCCCTCCTCTGGAGGACAGTGTTCCATTCCAGGGGCTACATTTTAGGAAGGACCAATGCCTTTCTTAAAAGCTTGATAAACTGAAGGGTGTCTCAACCAAGATAGTGAAAGGCCTTGAGTCTGTGCCACTTGAGAAATGGTAGAAGGAAGCAGAGATGTTTAATATAGAGAAGGACATGTCCACAGTCTTCAGGAATTTGAAAGGCTGTCACCTAGAACAAAGATTAGACTCATTCTGTTTGGCCCTAGAGGGCAGAACCAGGGCTAATAGGTAGAAATTGCTTGCTAAGGCAGATTTCGGTTCAGCAGGAGGAATTGCAGATTGTAGATTTAGAATGGGAAGGGGTCTTAGAAGTCATCAAATCCAACTCCATCCTGCCACAGATAAAGAAACTGAGACCTAAAGGAAGTTGTGACCCAGAGTCACACAGCTAGGAGGTATTTGAAGCAGGATTTGAACCCAGGTCCTCCTGAGTGTAGATTCACACACAGCATTCTGGCCATTATACCACTAAAAGCTTTCTGAGCATTAGAGCTATCCCAAAAGTGGGCTCTGGTTCCCATCGCTAGAGTTCTTCCTTTGGAATATGGATGAGCACTTGTCAGTTATGTGGATAAAGGGCTGGGCCTGGAGTCAGGAAGTCCTGAGTTCAAATTTGGCCTCAGCTACCTACTAGCTGTGTGACCCTGGGCAAGTCACTTGACATCTGTCTGCCTCCCTTTCCTCATTTGTAAAATGGGAACAATAATAGCCCCTGTTTCTCAGGGTTGCTGTGAGAATCAAACAAGACAATATTTGCAAAGCAACTGGCAAATCTTAAAGCTCTATAAAGACTAGCCACTGCATTACTACTATTATGATTACTACTGCTACCACTACCGCCACTACTACTACCACTACTACTACTACTACTACTACTACTACTACTACTACTACTCCTACTCCTACTCCTACTCCTCCTCCTATTACTACTATTATTACTACTACTATTACTATGTCATGATGGAAGAGAATATTACCATTTAGGTACCAGGAGCATAAGATGATCTAACTCAGACTCTATGGGAAACATCATAGAGAAACAGGGAAAGCCCACTGAAGAAAGCTCAGAAAGCAACATATAGAAAGCACAAAGGAACACAGTGTAAACCAAATATCTGATCACGAGGGATAGGCATGATTGAGTCAATCAGGCTAGGCTTCATGGAGGAGGTGGGCTGGGGAGGGGTGTGGGGTACAGTTAAGGGCCAGTGGGTGTGAATTAGTGGAGAGGAGGGACAGATGGGGAGGTTGAGGGAGGTGGTCTGAGATTTCTGCTGCAAGGAGATTGGCAGGGGGTGAGGCTGAGTTGGGGGGAGGGAATTCCCAACTGTGGGCTTCTCTGTCTCCAGGAGGAAGCTTTCCAGCTGTCTTCTCTGTGCTGTCTTGTTTGAGCTGGGGCCCTGGGGCTTTGAAGGCTTAAGTGGATTAAAGTAAATTAGCAATGTCCTTAAGCCTACAAAATGTGCAGACACCCTCTGATTTCTAATTGCTCCACGGAGCAGATTGTGGCTGTCACACAGAAGTGTGTGTGTGTGTGTGGTGTGTGTGTGTGTGTGTGTGTGTGTGTGTGTGTGTGTGTAGGGGGAGGGGTGAATAGAGGGGATAGAGGGTGAGAGTGGGGAGACCTGTCAGATTAGTTAAAACCTTTCCAGGGCTGAGGGCCTTTCTGTCTGTGGTTCCAAAGTGGCGACTCATAATGGAAATATTTCCACTCTAGGTTGGAGTCTGGGATTTACCATTGCTCTAATGAATCTGGGTTGCTCAGTTAGAGGCTGCGGGACAAGGCGCTAGACAGAGTTAGACATCCTTATACTCCTCCACCCCACCTAATTCTGAATCTTGAGACTTATTCCTTATTCCTTTAACTATAACCTGAATTGTCCACATTGAGTCAATCAATGTCAACAACCATTTATTAAGCACTTACTATATACTAGGCCAGGGGTGGGGAACCTGAGGCCTCTAGGCCACATGTGGCCCTCTAGGTCCTCAAGTGTAGCCCTTGACTGAATCCAAACTTCACAGAACAAATCCCCTTAATAAAAGGATTGTTCTGTAAAACCTGAACTCAGACAAAAGGCTGCACCCAAGGACCTAGAAGGCCACATGTGGCCTCGGTTTCTCACCCCTGGCCTAGGCACTATGCTAAGTAGACCTGATCCCTCCAGGAATGTAGTGGAGGAGACAACACTTAAATAATTAGATACCTACAAGAAAAGGAGTAGATGTACCCTCCTTCCCTCACAGAGGGGAAGGCAGGGAGGTAGGATGGGAAGAGAGACAGGAGGGGTTTCTTCCAGAAGATGGTATCTGAGTTAAATATTGAAGAAGGCCAAAGATACCTAAAGGGCGAGGTGAGGAGGAAGAATATTCTAGCCAATGCAAAGTAACAGAGAAGGGAGACAATGGAGGGTGGTATTAGAAGAACTGCTTAGCTCCTTTGTGATTGCTCTTTGGGTGGTTATAATAATAATTTAGATGGTATTTTGAAAACACATTATATATGTGTAAAGTAGAAGGGCTTGTGTAAGAATTTAAACTCATACCACAGGGAGACAGAGATGGGGCAACATGAGTTTCAGGGACATTGATTCAGATAGATATGTTTTGGGATGTGGAATGCTCTATCACACATCTCCAAGGGAGACTGATTTCCACCTTTGTGGAGCATAGAAGGAAGGCTGTGGCTACATGCTTACATACTGATTGATTCATTCATTTATCCATTTATTTATTTGTTCATTTATCTGTTTATTAGTGTGCTTTTCTACCTTCAAGAGGGGCTTTGGGCTAGAATTACATCTATTTATTATACTTCAAATATTTACAATTTAGGAATATGATTGGGGCAGCTGGGTAGTACAGTGGATAGAGCACTGGCCCTGGAGTCAGGAAGACTTGAGTTCAGATTCGACCTCAGACACTTATTAGCTTAGCTGTGTGACCCTGGGCAAGTCACTTCACCCTGTTTGCCTCAGTTTCCTCATTTATAAAATGAGCTGGAGAAGGAAATGGAAAACCACTCCAGTATCTTTGACAAGTAAACCCCAAATGAGGTCATGGAGAGTCAGATACAATTGAAATGACTCAATAATGAAAGACAAAATGGGCTTTTCATCTCTGAATAGTATGAACCTTATTCCCTGGGCAAGAGGGAGTCATCTGAGTGTTTTGAGCGGTGATGGGACCATACTTGTGAATAAGGAAGATTCGTGCTATGGTCTGGATGTGTTATGAAGACTAGTTTGGAGGGGGTCAGGGAGAGGATGGAAAGAAGCAGGAAGACCTAGTAGGAGGTTACTATATTAATCTAAGCAGGTGGTAATAACAGCCTGGTCTATGATGGTGATAATAGGGATAGGAGGAAAAAGATGAAAAGATACTACAGAGACAGTTAATGACTTGGTAACTGATAGGATATGAGAAGTGAAGAGGAGGAAAGAAGAAAAAATAATCCCAG